TTAGCTAGGCACTTGCGCGAACCCCGATAAAAATTGGACTGCTCCCCGTTCTACTTCCCAACCACCTATGCGAACAATGGTCGGGAGACGGGAAGTACTGAACAGGGGGAGCATTCTGAAATCAAGAGAATTCCTTGCATGGTGTTCGTAAAGGAACCCCCAAACAAAGATTGTCCAGGGCACCTATTCCCCATGAACTGTTTTGGGCTAGCGCCTCATGTCTGGACGGTCAAAACCTTAAAAGTTGTTTCAGAGCTTAGAGTAGCCCTTTAAATCTGACCTTGTGCGTACTTCTACCATAAAAGCATTGACACTGCTGAGGATTATAATGACAATTCTCTCAATTTAAGCTTGTGCATTCATTGCACCCTTCCTCTCATTGGCGATTGTCACCTGTACTTGGCACCTATATTTGGCAAGTCAGTTTTCGATAAGATCATAAACCTCTATGTATTTCTATATTGTCCTCATCCTACAATATTATTAACAGGCAGGTGTGCAGATTTCAAATACATACTAACAAATATAGGGAGCATTGAGGAAAAAAAAACTGCACCTTAAAGGACCACTATAGGTGCCAGGTCCCTCTAGTTTTAACCATGCAGCTGAAAACATAGCAGTTTCTTTCACTGAGGGTTAATCCAGCCTCTAGTGGCTGCCTCACTGACAGCCGCTAAAGGCGCTTCCGCTATTTTCACAGTGAGAAGACGCTGGACGTCCATAGGAAAGCATTGAGTAATGCTTTCCTATTGGCTGTTTGAATGCTTGCACGGCTCTTGCCGCGCATGTGCATTCGAATATGATGTCAACAGGGGGTGGAGAGTTCCCCAGCACAGAGGCAGGGCCGGACTGGGGAAACAAAGCAGCCCTGGAAAAAAAAATTATGCCAGCCCCATAAGTCACTGCGCCATATATTGTCGCGTGTAATATGTAAGGCTATGTCTTGCCATGACAGATGATTGAGTAATATATATATATATATATATATATATATATTTTGCTTTTTCTAATATAAAATATTGGTTCTTTCAGAGTAAAACGTTTAATTATACAGTAAGCACACTCACATGCAGACACAGACAATCTCACTGACACAAGCTCATTGATACACAGCCTCATAGACAAACAATCTCACTGATATACATCAGCTCATTGACATAAAAACACAAGCTCACTCACTAGCAGGCACACACATGCAAGCAAGCTCACTCACTAGCAGACGCACACACACAGCTTAATGTAGTGGTACTGGTGTCTATAGCATGTCCCTACAGGCTTTTCAACGTAAACACTGACTTTTCAGAGAAAAGGCAGTGTTTACATTGCTTCAAAGTGACACTGCTAGTGACAGTCACTCAGACGGTCACTAGAGGTGCTTCCTGTGTCAGTGCACCTACATTCAGGGCCTCCACACTCTGTAGGTGCTGAACGTTCCCCATAGAGATACATTGATTCAATGCATCTCTATGAGGAGATGCTGATTGGTGTAGCGTTTTGCAGCCAATCCTATGGCAAAGAATTTGATTGGCTGAGATCATCAAGCTTGATGATCTCAGCCATAGAGGCAGGGCCAGTCGAGGGGAGACCAGTACGCTGCATGGGGGAAAAAAGGTGAGAAAAAACACTATTTTTAAACACACATATACACCATGACAGACACAGAAACAAACATATACCATGACAGATACACACACCATGACAGACACACACACATGAGAGACCATGACACACACACATATATCATGACACACACCCCATGACGGACAGACACACACCCCATGACAGACACACACACACACCATGACAGCCAGACACAACACACAACACACGACAGCCAGACACACACACACACACCATGACAGACACACACACACACACCATGACAGACAGGCACACACACCATAACAGACAGACACACACTATGACAGACAGACAGACACACACACACACACACACACCATGACAGACAGACACACACACACACCATGACACAGACAGACACACACACACCATACCATACAGACAGACACCATGACACAGACAGACACACACCATACAGACACACACCATGACACAGACAGACACACACCATACAGACACACACCATGACACAGAAAGACAGACACACCATAACACAGACAGACAGACCATGACACAGACAGACAGACACACACACCATAACAGACAGACAGACACACCATAACAGACAGACAAACTCACACTGACACACATTACTACTACCTACCAGGGGGTCATGCAGTGCAGAATGCTGTCTGTGCTGGCGGCTGCTGGGGCACCTGTGCTGGAGGCCGCTGGGGGAGGTCTGCTGGTGGCCGCTGGGGGATGTCTGCTGGTGGCCGCTAGTGGAGGTCTGCTGGTGGCTGCTGGGGGAGATCTGCTGGTGGCCGCTGGGAGAGGTCTGCTGGTGGCCGCTGGGGGAGGTCTGCTGGTGGCTGCTGGGGAAGATCTGCTGGTGGCCGCTGGGGGATGTCTGCTGGTGGCTGCTGGGGAAGGTCTGCTGGTGGCCGCTGGGGGAGGTCTGCTGGCGGCCACTGGGGGACTTGTGCTGACGGCCGCTGTGGGAGCTGCACTGGCTCTCCTCTCCCGCCCTCTTGCGCAGCTGAATGAGACCGGGGCCGGAATATGACGTCATATTCCGGCCCCGGTCTCATTAAGCTGCACGCTGGGGAGCAGAGACAGCGCAGCTCTCCCAGCGGCCGCCAGCACAAGTCCCCCAGCTGCACGCTGGGGAGCAGAGACAGCACAGCTCCACCAGCGGCCGCCAGCAGACCCAGGTGTCTGCCCAGCCCCAGGTGCCAACGGCCCACCGGGAAATTTCCCGGTATCCCGCTGGGCCAGTCCAGCCCTGCACAGAGGGAGCCCGGTGCTGGAGAAAGGTAAGTGGCTAAATGGGTTTTAACCCATTCAGTACAGCGGGAGGGGGGCTCTGAGGGTGTGGGGACCTAATGACCCTATAGTGTAAAAAAAAACGAGTTTGTTTTCCTGGCACTATAGTGCTCCTTTAAGTTCATCTCTGCCATTTTTTATACACACCCCTACTTCTGCAAGCAGGCATGCCTCATTTGCCAAGACCACCCTGCCCCTTACTCCTAGGGTAAACCCCCATTCAAGGAGATCTGAAATGGTCCCTTAATTGTGTACCTCTCCGTGAACATCTACAGAGGTCAATGTTTATAGGAAAACAATCCAATAAGATTAAAAAGGGTCTCCTTAGCAGGTGAAAACATATCGTATATCTCACCTCCTTAACAAAATACTTCCAAATCTGACATTATTCATTTACAATAATGCTCAAACTGAGAATGAAAGTCCTCTGAAAAGTAGTTCCCAACATTTCAGTCTGCGTTATATAGGGAAAGTAATAAAAACTCTTTAATGTCGATGCTTATTTAATTTTTGGCAAGACATATAAACCTTTACAGACACACACTGTATATTCTCGTAAAAGTGGGGAAGTGATCTGTGAAATAAAATGAACGTGCATTTTAGCAATAATTTGCCTAAAACTTGCTTCCTCTCTGACCTTTGAGGAGACCACTTTCTGTCTGTGACATGATTCTCATTTACGCTGTGCTCTTACAAGACGCAATTCACACACATTTCCTCTCTTTTCTCCTTTTTGTCTTTTAACATATTTAAATCAAACAAAATCCGCACAGTGGAAATGAGAAACAGCCATGATCACTATAACCTCCACTGACAGAAGATCGGGCGGCGTAACCTTGGGAATGGAGTCAACTCGGGATATCGCGGCTAATCAATCAAAATATTTCCGCTTACTTGCATGCTTTACATTTTCGGGCGCTTTCGATGTGGCAATCTCAGTCCAGTTTCTGTGATAATCTTCAAACGACACCGACTTTATCTTCCTGTCAAAAAATCATCAAAGACAAAAAGCAGATTGCTTGCGTTTGTAGCACCCAGTATGAGGTAACTAGTAATGATGATGAAAGTTAAGTGGCAGTCAGCTTAACAAGATGCCATATTTAGGGATCCGCTGTGTTAACCTAAAGCAAGGGCAACCAGAAAGTAGTTCTTCAACTTTGGAAGGACTGCAACTCCCATGATGCTTGACAAAAATAAAAAATTAAGCCATGCACTCAAACTCCCACTACTCCTGGGCGGCAGCAATGACGATAGTACTTATCAGCCTCAATACATAGAATAAAAACACAAAAAGTTACTTGCGCACTATCCTAAATCCCTGTGCACATTTAAAAAGCTAGAGTTTTTTTTGGAATCACTCTAATGGCTATTAAAGTGTAAGCTCACTTGGCTTTTAATCCATGATGCTTTACCAGCTTTGGCACTTTAAATGGTTATGCTAAGCACCATGACCACTTCAGCGATATGAAGTGGTCTTGGTGCCAGAAGTCTGTATGTGCAGCATTTTACTTTCAGTTTAACCTCACGCCCGGTAGCATCATAGGGGTGTCATTAGCCAGTCCAGAGTTAGATTTCCAGGCTTGCCAATGTGAATTCTGGACAACTTTCGTTTCAGTATCAGTCATTGGGTGAGAGTGGTCAACTGACCCTATCAGCCAGTGAATAGCGATGGCCATGTTTTCTTTATTTTATGGCACTGCAGTAGCTGAAAGCGGGTCACCGGACCACCAGGGAGCATCAGAGCCCAGTGGGGAACCAGGTAAGGGGGCAAACCATTACTAAACAGTTTCCCTTATTACCAGGGAACTGAGCTAGGGTACTCCTGGCATCATAACCACTAAAGCGCACTGTAATTATTAAGATGTTTGGAGTAGCCCTAAAAAAAACCACACCAAGCCAGGGCGACCAGAAAGTACTTCTTCAAGCACCATAACCACTACAGCTTATTGTAGTGGTTATGGTGCCAGGAGTGCTCTGCCATTCCCAATTGTAGGTAGTCAAGCACAGTTTTAACTTCATATCTGGGGTCTGTCTGTCTCCTCCACAATTAACAGCGGAGAGACATAAGGAACTTCTGTTAGCCGTTCAGGGCTAGCTCATTGGCTGAAAGCAGAGAGTTGGACGTTACTAAGCAGGGACTTCTATTATCTTTCCTGCACTGAATTAGGTTTTCAATTCACTCTAATTTAAAAAAACACAACTGTGTCTCTACTTCACAATTAAGACTGGATGCATTTAAAATAGATGTTAAATTTTTTGACCACCAGACAGAAGTGCCACCAGTAGACCAAACTTTGAGATATCTCTTAGGTTATACTTATTATTATTATTATTATTATTATTTCCCAGATAATTGGGAAACTGGATAATATTAAAAGAAATAAGTAAAGTGCATCGCAGAACACCCGAAAATAATAACCTGATATTGCACAGTGGTTTCTGTGCTTGACAAAGTGCTCTGTATTTGCCAGCATATCCTAGAAAAGAGCAATATCTGTGCCAGTCCACGGCAAACGTCCCCAGGCGTTCATGTTTGTTTTTTGTTTTAGAAAAGAGCAATATTACACTGACGGCGTCAGAGCACTCCTGGCACCATAACCAGTACATACAGGAATATGTTGCACTGTGCTATTTTCTATGAAAGATGTTTCTGGTTTACTCATTGAAACTGTGAAGAATCCACAAGTCAATCACATATTTTAGATCAAACTAGCCAAGCTGGAAAAATACTGAGACTCCGCTATTTTGGCGTAAAATTTGAAATCTACAATTCTCAGCTTAGAGAATAAACCCACATATAAAGGCAATTTTAAAAATATTACATATATATATACCACTAGATCCCCTACACACACACACACTGCACCCTCACTCACACTCACAGTACGCTCACACCCACACACACACACACACAGCACCCTCAGAGCACAAAATCCTTGACTGGAAATTATAGACCTGTGAGTTTAACTTCTGTGGCTGGAAAAGTATTTGAAAGTTTATTAAGGGATTATATTCAAAAATTACTTGATAAGAACATGGTTATCAGCAAAAATCAGCATGGTTTTATGAAGCACAGGTCATGTCAAACTAACTTGGTTACATTCTACAAAGAAGTAAGTAGAAGTATAGATCAGGGTGTTGCAGTGGATGTGATCTATTTGGATTTTGCCAAGGCATTTGACACAGTTCCACACAATAGATTAGTGTTCAAACTCAAGGAAATCGGTCTAGATGAAAATGCTTGTTCTTGGGTAGAACATTGGCTTAAAAATAGAGTACAAAGAGTTGTCATTAATGGTAAATTTTCAAGCTGCACAGATGTGGCAAATGGTGTCCCTCAGGGGTCTGTTCTGGGACCCCTTCTATTTAACATGTTTATAAATGATCTTGAAAAAAGTATTGAAAGTCATGTTTCAGTGTTTGTAGATGACACAAAACTCTGTAAAGTGATACAATGTGAGCAAGATATTACCTTGCTGCAGAGGGATTTAGATAGACTGGGGGACTGGGCACTCAAATGGCAAATTAAATTTTTTGTTGAATAATGCAAAGTTATGCACTTCGGCGTAAAGAATGCACAAGCAACGTTTACCCTTAATGGAAGCAAATTAAGGATAACAACACGACTTGGGAACAAACTATGCAACAATGTGCAATGTCAATCAGCAGTGGCTAAGGCCAGTAAGGTATTGTCATGCATGAAAAAGGGCATTCATTCTCGGGATGAGAATATCATTTTGCCTCTTTATAAATCACTGGTAAGTCCACATATTACATAGTTACATAGTTACATAGCTGAAAAGAGACTTGCGTCCATCAAGTTCAGCCTACCTCACATTTGTTTTTTGCTGTTGATCCAAAAGAAGGCAAAAAAACCCAGTTTGAAGCACAATTTTGCAACAAGCTAGGAAAAAAATTCCTTCTTGACCCCAGAATGGCAGTCAGATTTATCCTTGGATCAAGCAGTTATTACCCTACATTGAAAGATTATATCCTTGAATATTCTGTTCTTGCAAGTATGCATCTAGTAGCCGTTGAATATGCTGTGCAATTTTGGGCACCTGTTCTAAAGCAGGATATTATGGCACTAGAAAAAGTGCAGAGGCGGGCTACAAAATTAATAAAAGGAATGGAACAAATCAGCTATGAAGAAAGGTTAACAAATTTAAACCTATTTAGTGTAGAAAAACGTCGCCTGAGAGGGGATATGATAACATTATACAAATATATTCGGGGCCAATACAAACCATTGTGTGGAAATCTATTCACAAACCGGACTTTACATACGACACGAGGTCATGCGTTTAGACTCGAAAGAAGATTTCGTCTAAGGCAAAGGAAAGGTTTTTTTACTGTACGAACAATAATGATGTGGAATTCTCTGCCTGAAGAAGTGGTTTTAGCAGAGTCCATACAGATGTTCAAACATCTACTAGATGCATACTTGCAATAACAGAATATTCAAGTATTTCATTTTCAATGTAGGATAATAGCTGCTCGATCCAAGGATAAATCTGACTGCCATTTCCTAGCTTGTTGCAAAATTGGAAGTGCTTCAAACTGGGTTTTTTGCCTTCTTTTGGATCAACAGCAAAAAACAAATGTGACAAAGGCTGAACTTGATTGACGCAAATCTCTTTTCAGCTATGTAACTATGTAACCCTCACACCACACTCACAGCACCCTCACACCCACACACACACAAAGCCCCCTTTACACTCACACACACAGCACCCCTCTTACACACACACTGCACCTCTCTTACACACACACACACACACGCTGCACCCTTCACACATACACACAGCACATCCAACACACTGAGCCCCTCACACATACAATACTTCCAAACATATATATATTTACACACTATAGCACCCCTCACAAACACACACTGCACCACATTACATTCCAGATACACACTAGATCCCTTATCCAACTCTGGATCATCTAATCCACACACATACACACACTAGATCCCTATATACACTCTGAATCCTCTATATACACACACACACACACACACACACACACTAGATCTCCTGTACACACTCTGGGCCCTTCACACAATAGATCCCCTACACACACACACACACACACACTGCACCACCTACATACACTACATTCCTGACATACAAACTCTGGATCCCCCTATGCACACACTACATTCCTTGTAAGCAAACAAATACAACATTCTCTAAACACACACTCTCTACAATCCCTACACACACTACGTCACCTATATACACACACACATTAGAGCCCGTATGCACACACTCGCTGCATCCTCTATATACACTATGCCCCCTATACACACATTCTCTACAGCCCCTAGACACACATATTACACCACAAACACAAATGAAATTAACTTATTTACACAATACCACACCACAATCAGCTCACTCTACACACACGCAATCCCACAAGCAGGCTCCAAACACATGCACCATACACTTTCCAGGCCATTTTGTCCTCTGGTATACCACTTATGTAGACACCAGAGACAAGTTAAAAGCAAACACAGTGCAAGCATGTTATTAAATTTGCTTGCGCTGCGCAGAACAAATACACAGCCTTTTTCTAATGCCAGAGCTCTTCAGCAGAGCTCTGCGAATGGTCTGCCCTGGCCTGCACTTTGAGAGGGGGCGTGCTTGTCGTTAGGAGGCCGCTGTGATTGAAAAATGCCCAGGCCGAATTCTTTTTCCCAGTCCGGCCCTGTGTGTACAAAATACAGCCCCCCGCTTCTCGTAACAGTCCAGATTTAATACCTCCCGTTGTTGGGAGCTGTGAAGATTTTCTGTGTTCTATAAAATAACCATGTATTTAACCTGTAAAATCTTTGCATGTCTGTCAATCATTTTCCCATGTGCATCCAATTTTTGATTTGTGTTCTCTTCATATGTGAGATTTTGGTGATAACTTGCGAAGCACTCCGAACGCTTATTGCCACTGTATTCAGTAATCCCTCGGAAAGAGAAAAAGACGGAAAGAAAACCAATTCAATCCTTTGCTCTTGGTGTTTTTTGTTTTTTTTTATGACTGAGAGACTTTGAGAAAATCTTGTGGTTAATGGCTTGAGCAAGTACGGTTTTCATCATCTTTTTGTCATATTCTCTTGAATAAATATCCCTTGAAGTGGCAGGAAATAAATACAAATCTTAATTAATCAGATCCGTGGTGCATTAAATACTAATACATTACATTCCATAAAAGAACATTATACAGAAGACATTTTTTAATCTGTCTTTAGCTTTTGATGTTTTTTAATTGTTTTATTTAGTGCTGTTTTTATTTTATTTAGTGCTGTTTATGCCGTATACATAGAGACATGAAGTAGAACTGAATAAAGAGACTGCATGTTCACATAAGTTTCATTTAACTTGACAGAGGTAAATTAGAGGTAAATCTGAGCTCGGTTACTGGTTTATAGACTAACCGCTAATACAGCCCATCAGAACTAATATTTTAAGAAATAATCCCTGATAAAACCAGAAACGCTACACAGCATAACCAAGGTGAGAGAGTTAGTTCATAATTTTATGGACAAAGCCATAATGTGTATACACACTCTTAGGTCCCATTTAAATCAAAGGAGCTGTACATTCCAATGCTTGCCCTGTGCTGTGGGCTTAAAGGAACACTCCGGGCACCATAACAACTTAAATGCAATAAGCGCTGATAGGCTGAGAGTTTATCGGACACTTATCAGTAGCTCCCTATTCACAAAACGGAGTGCGAAAGATACTGTATGGTGCCCAGTCTGACTGAAGACTCAGATTCAGAGGGGCAGACCTAACCTGGTTCGGACTGAAGACTTTGGGGTTAAACTGTTCATTAACGGTTCATTGACGGTTAAACCCCTGGAAGGTAAGCTAGCACCCAAGACCTCCTCGCACCATTAAAACTTAATTTTGCCACTGTGCGTTCTCTCGTAGAATGTCAGAGTGCAGATCTAAAATGTATGTGACGTAGTACGGTTCACAGTTTGCATTAGAGCCGAGTGTGTGGAATCTCTTAGGAAAAACAATGACAACGATGCCTCTGGATAAAGGTTCCTTGGGAACTCTGAAGACACAGTCCACCATCACCACCTTTAGCGGGAGTAGTTGTCAGAAATTCACTGGATCCAGGCCATTATGAGAGCCTCCTTCTCTCTTTCATAGCTGCCAGTCAGTCTTATGTCTCTGAGCGTGTCGCAGTTGTTGTGCTGCTGATTCCAAGTAAGAGACAGGAATGCAAGTCCCTGGTCCATCATCCGCCATCACCATTATTCTGCCTTTTAAAGCAGGTAGTCCCTCCATCACAATACCATCTGCTTGGAGTCAATTTTAGATTTTTTTTATAGGAGAGATTTGATATCACCCTTAGTGGCAGAGGAGTCTTCACCCTCCTCCAAATATGATTTAAACCTCTTTGTTTTGGAATTTTATCAAAGGTTTTTACAGTGTCCGAATTGGAAGATGGAGAGATGATCGTTTCAGTCGAGTCTGACTCTCAGACCACGAAAACAAATTGCTAATATCTGGGATCTGTTGGAGCAGTGAGCTCCTGACATTTTGGTATTCTTCACCATCTTATGATGTGTGAGTGGATACGGTAATTAAGTTTGTTTTATATATATATATATATATATATATATATATGATTTGCTAAAATCTGTTCTAAACTCCAATGTAGTGTAACCAGTCAGTTTGACAGTGATGTCCGCCATCGCCTCTGCCTTATGTTTTACATTATGAAAATACTTTTTTGTTTTAGATCCATAATAAACTGAGTGAACCTTGAAAGATCCAGACTCCTCCCACACTAGTTAAAAAAAGCTAATTAGGATCATTTCATTCTGGTCTATTGGGATTGATCTTACCCTACAAACTTCTGTCCAGCTGATTTTTTAGGATACATAGTTTATACTCTGCCTGCAGTTACATTCACCAGATAGGATCACTGGAACCGCATTACAAACCTTCTAGTCGTGCCATCGGTTTACAGACAGCTCTATTCGATGTATAATGCCCAGGGCTGTATTTTGCTATAAGCAGAGACGTGGACTGAACATGCGCAGTCTGTGCTTAGCTATCACCAGGGTGGACCGAGACAACTTTCCTTAATTTATTAGTGGCATGCACAAACTGTCAGCACAAGAATGCATCTCATTGTACAGCGCTACGGAACAAGATTTTAAAAGAGCACCAAGTATTGCACTAATAACCATGCAGTTTGCAGTAATAAAAAAAAAATAATAACAGAAAATAATTAGCCCTTTTAAAGTTGCTAAATTTGCGCTTGCACATGCGCAAGAATGAACTGCATCTGGCAGACCCTCCCAGAGCAGGAAGAGGCTCCACCAATCAGAAGCCTCTAATTGTGGTCCATCCAAGGGTTTTTCTCACCCCATAAAGATTATAGTGACCAGCACATCGTGCAGTGATTTCCTACCTTGCTGACCATATGTGTGTGCAGCTCGGCTCTCTGCACAACAGGAAAGAGTAGGAAATGTGTGCTTAAGAAATTCACTGACAAATGGACAGTCAGAGATTTATAAATGTAGTGCCACAAAATATGCAAAACTATCTGTTAGGCAAAGCATCATGGGAGATGTACGTCCAGAGTAGAATAAAACATTGATAGCTGTTCATCTACTCTGAGTTTACATTTTATTTAGTGTTTTTCACAAAATGAGAATTGCTGGGAATTCAAAGTGAATTTAAAATGTTAGGTTTAAACAGTCAAACTGGAAACAGAATTGACTTGAAGATTGAATTCCCCACAATTAACACAATATGAGACTGCTAGGTAACAGCAAACCTGCACGTGACTAGATTTACCACCAGGGGGAAGCATCACACACATTTTTTTCATTTTGTGCCAGAATGTACTGAGTCTGAATTCCTGTTTATTTATCCGGTAGAAATCTTTGTATATTCAGAGAAGAGCCATGATTGCTACTGGATTGAGCTTCAAAACACAAATACAGGAAATCATCAGAGTTTCAATGTAACTCATCCAGAGACAGTGGAACAAAACAATGACACTTAATAGATCATTCAGAAATAATTCACTAAACTGGGAGCGGTGTTGAGCTAATTCTCGTTTTGTCCAAAATTCTGCCAAATTGGAAATTTCTCCTACTATGGATCTAAATCCTACTAAATTGTTGTCTGCAACTCACTATTAAGTGAATAAACTGCCTTTTCTTAGATTTAGATTTTCTTAGAAGTGATTAGAATGTCTTATCTTTTATTTGGATTAATCTATATACAAACAGAATTCCACAGTATATTTTACTATTAACTTGTTTAATAATGACTTGCTTTCAGGACAGTCTATGGTTCAGTAACTGCGTGATGCACATAAGATTATGCACAATGTTTAACTCTATCAGGATTATTCACTAAAGTGAGAATTCAAAGTGAATTTCAAATGTAAGGTCACAAACTCCTGGAGGAGCCTGCTAGCTAGCCTCCTGCCCAAGGACTATGGGCCACATACAAAGACCCAGTTCGGGAGTTAAATCTCCCCAGCCGCCATTAGCCCCTGGTTCGGCACTTTCCCTTAATTTGAATGGAACCGAACACTAGCTCCCTGGTGGGCGTTCGCATGAAGAAACCCACAAATTGTCCTCAGTGGTACTTAGCCAGGATCGTTATGGAACTAAATTCGGCATGAGGACTTCGTGGGTTCCCGGCCACCTCAGCAGGACTTAGCCTCAACTGTTATGGAACGGTTTTCGGCATTAGCTGACTGTGCGGCTCCCAGACAATTTGCTCCTCGGTTTTGAATGACTTTGAAAAATCCACCAGGAGAGCGCTTTTTGGAGAGAAGGTGTCTGAGACTAAGGGGAACAAACGCTACCCGAGACCCAAATGGAGCACCCCATATTGCGGCCACAGGAGCTCCCAAAAGTTGACCGGCCAAAGCACCAAACGCCCTGGAACTGTTTTGGGCATAGGACCACGTGTGCGACCGGTCAGAACTTTGACACGGTGGCTTTTCCCCTACACTGCATGGATCTGAGCGCTATTTGGAGAACTTGGGCGCTCAGATCAGGGTTATTTGAGGATGTAATTTTTGTTGGGTTATTATATATTTTTATGATGTTTTGGGGCATTTTTATTTTTTATATTTTTATGTTTGCCTCTTTGTTCCTGGGAGATAATTAGCTTACTGGTCTTTAACGCAATTATCTCCCAGGCCCAGAGATCTTTGGGAGGGGCTTGCATTGTATTGTATGGAGACCCCCTGCTGTGGGTCTGTGTATAAAAGTCACCATAATAAAACCACTCTTCTTGTACCCTTCATCAAGTCTAGGCTTTGATCACTGCTTCATTTGTGAGAACTACAGCGGATATAGTCAGGCGGAGTATAGGGGATCCGTTACAATTTGTATGTAATAATGCTGGTGGTTAAGTGATTTCTGTGTTATGATGCTTTGCTGTTTCATTGGATCAATGTTAATAGTGACATCACACAGACGTGCTATCCTTGCTGAGCTGCTTTAAGACAGGATACAAGAGAATGGACAACAGCTCAAGTAGCTGCATTTTGGTTCTGGACCGCCATATTTAAAGGGTATGCCAGACGTGGACCACTTGCTCATGGTGCCTAGCCGGGTATCGGCTATACCTCACTGACGAGGCCTAACAAGGCTGAAACGATTGTCTGCGGTTGCTGTATCTCTCATGCAGAGAGAGCTGGCCTGCGTTTGGATCTGGACTGTTCTTTTGGGTGGGATCAGTCTGATATGCAAATGGACCTGGTTATTTTAGTAATGACACAAGATGAGCTAAAACCAGCTTGAGATCTGAGCGTGACACACCGAAGTGCAGGCTACTTGAGCTATTGTCCATTCCTAGCATTCTCGTGGACCCTGTTTTTTCTACTGAGCTGTTTTGGCGCAATCGGCTGACACCAGTCATTTGGCGCAGTTAAGGATCATGAAAGATTTAATACATACGACTCAGTCCACTGCGGATCCATGCTTTTGGCTCCCCCTTTTGGTTGTTGCCATTTTTAACAACTCTCTTCATCCAAGTGGATTAATAGCTTTTGAATTACAGATGTTCCTGATTTACATTTATGGTTAGGCATCAGGAATTTAGGATTACTTGAAAAAGATTTAAAAGTATTTTTTTAATAATTGGATGTTTACTTGAAATTAATTATTTTGTAAATTAAAGACCTACTGGATATTGTGATCACAACTTTAAACAGAAAAAGCCACAACTACCCATGTAATATCCTTACTGAAGCCCAGCAGGGCCCTCTTATTGCTTAATCAATACACATTGGGAAGATAATTCTCAATATCTTGAGTTTGAAAGATATTCCTAAACCCCCTACTCCCTCGCTACATACAACATTAAACCTACCTCTGGGTTGCGGGCAGGGGAAGCTCCTGTGTTGCTGTAACTCTGGGTGGATCACGGACTACACCGGCTGCAAAAAAATTCTAATATTTATTATGATTGAAGATTTATGATTCCTTACTGATTGTTTCTGGTGGTTTTCTGTTGTGTCTATTGTACATTCACACAATCAAAAAGTACTATATACTATAAACAGGAATATTCTCAGGGTACGGGACTATAGTACCTAAACTGTAAAACAGTTAAATAATGTAGGGAAGGAGACAGGCAGGCAACAAGTTCATCAGGTAGACTGGCAATAGGTTAGAATAAAGGAGAAAATCAGACAAAGGAAGTAGATGGATTGTTCTGTAACAGAAAAGTAAAAATATGAGTTGTACTGACTTTGATATATATAAAAATGGGCTTCCATACGCAGTCCCAACATGGGACAGAATTATTACATGGCTCAATCGAGTTGGTTCTGCATGGTCCTATTGCCCAGGCACAGTTCCCTGGCGTCACTAAAATAGAGACTGTCCCGACAAAAGTGATAAAGTTGGGAGCCCTACTTTATTCTTATTTGAGGGAAGAGGGGGCAACAGGGAGGATGGAAAGGCCGATCAGCAATCAAGACCTGGTTTGTGAGTTCAGGTGCCTACATATTATTGTCTCGGCATTAAACAGGATGGAGACGCAACATTCTAATGGAATTTAATGCATTACAGGCAATATAAACGTGCATGGGAAAAAGACCCAAACAATAAAAACTAGTTCAACTTGCTTTTCATATCGTAGTAATTTATTTTATTTATTTATTTATTATTGCTATTTATAAAGCGCACACAGATTCCGCAGCGCTGTACAATTAGTTGAGAAACGTACAATATACACAAACAAATACAAGAGGTAAGAGAGCCCTGCCTGTAAGCTGATATCTAGCCATTTTAGCTCTTTTATACAAAGTGCTTAGCTAGATTAAAGGGTTAACAGTATTGTGTACCAGGGCAGGGAGACTTATCATTACCTGAGATTCTCTCCAGCTGCGAGATAAGAAAAACTCATATTAAATATCTTTTTTGGGAATTAAATTTAAAAGTGATGTAGCCAGCGTTGGGAAAGCTGCCAGATCATATATATTTAGAGGAAAAGTTGTGTCTTGAACTTTAATCTTAAGGCCATACATAGGTTTATTTTTGTTCTTTTGTGGAATTTTTGAGAAATCCTTTTATAAATCACTTTTGAGCACAAGATTTAACCTTGGCAATGGGCAAAGCTTGAAGGTAGGCTTCCATCACATTGAATCCACAATTCCAAGGGCCCCAATCAATCAGGGAGTAAAATAACACGTGAATGCAAGTTATCTGGAATTTTCCTAATTTTTTATTTTTCCTCATTTGTGTCAAAATTTGGTGACATGCAGCTGCAGGCAAAATTGCGCAGCTGGTGAGGATTCATCCATTGTTTTTGCTCCTGCCATTTGATAGAGAAACAATTCTTCATTGTCAATTACCGAGATGAGGTAAAATCCCACGTTGCAAGTGCAACATATTTTTGCCAAAATGTCCTAATAGATTGAGTTTTGGCAATGTCAAGACAGTCCTTCAGGTGCGTAATTGATTACAAAGAAATATAAAAAATGTAAAAGGATATGGTAGATACACAGAGGACTACGGAAAATCAAAATATAGAATAAAGGAATGAAACAAAAATTATAAAAGACACAGAATACAACAATTAAAAAAAAAAGTTTATAAAATTCCTAAACTAGTTACTATATGTTTAGGTAATATAGTTCATGTAATATTTCATGTTGATATTTTATAAAAATATAACAATATTTGTTATAAGAGAGTCTCTGTTTCATTTGACCAAACTCAATGTCACAACACAAGTGTGGCGGAACCAACCTCGCCACTGTGCACTGGAGGAGCCTGGTTGCTAGCCTGCTCCCTTTAGACTATGGCCCGGCATTTAAAACCTTTTATTTTTCCTGCAGAAAGGCTTATTCGTGCCTTTCTGCCGGGGGGTTCAGTAGATTCAATCTACCAAACAAAGTACCGAACGATCGACCACCTGGGAACTTGAGTGTGCCGTCAATTGGCCGCCCAGAAGCTGCAGTTAACTGCAGCTTAATTGACGAACGCTGAGTGGCCTTTGTTCGTTTGCCGAACACGTGGCAGTGGCCATTTTAACTCCCGAACGGCCAGAGGTGTTTAGCGCCCAAACTATGGAACTGGAAACGGACACTTATTTGCGCGAACACCGCTGAGCCGCCAGCCTCCTTACCTATGCATTCGGTAGTATAACCGAATGCCTATTCATTCAGTAGTTTAACCGTATGAACAGCCTCACCCCAGATAGCCATGCCATGGAGCCTATTCGTGTAATGAAAGACTATGGGAAAGACTTTGGCTCCATGGTGATTGAACTGTATGTATGTGATCTGAGCGCCATTCGGTAATAATGTGCGCTCAGAATCGGCAACAAGTGTGTTTAGCTGGGAGATAATTGGCTATACTCATGGAACTGGAAACGGACACTTATTTGCTGCGAACACCGCTGAGAACGATCGCCTTGAGTGTGCCGTCAATTCCTTAACCTAATTGACGAACGCTGATTGCCGAACACGTGGCAGTGGCCATTTTAACTCCCGAACGGCCAGAGGTGTTTAGCGCCCAAACTATGGAACTGGAAACGGACACTTATTTGCGCGAACACCGCTGAGCCGCCAGCCTCCTTACCTATGCATTCGGTAGTATAACCGAATGCCTATTCATTCAGTAGTTTAACCGTATGAACAGCTTCACCCCAGATAGCCATGCCATGGAGCCTATTCGTGTAATGAAAGACTATGGGAAAGACTTTGGCTCCATGGTGATTGAACTGTATGTATGTGATCTGAGCGCCATTCGGTAATAATGTGCGCTCAGATCTAAGCTATCTGGAGATATGTAGAATGTATGTGTTTTATTCATTATTTGCAACATTGGGTATTTTTGTGTCTTTTTTTACTAACATGTGCTCAATTAAGTTTTGCCTCTGTCCTGGGAGATAATTGGATTACTTCCCAATTATCTCCAGGATAGAGAGGAGGGATTGTGATGTAATTGTGGGAGTGTTTAAAGGTGTATGTCTGTGATTGGTCAATGTCCAATATGTTTCCCAGTCTTCCATCTGATCCCGTAGGCGAGTGTCCACCAGGTGGAAGACCTGCATAAAAGCCGGGCAGGTAGCCCCAGTAAATCAGTTCTGCTTGACCCTCAAACGAAGTGTCGTCTCGTTCTTGGGGGGAATTGGATTGTATGCTGATTGCCAGGAGTGTATGCTTTTCCTGTTCGGCTGTTTCCAGTGTTCGTGCGTTTCCAGTTCGAGAGATTGGTGCTTGCAGTAGCTGCCTGTGCATCTGAAAGGGGAATATCGCCTAAACGGTTTTTAACCTCTTGTGTGCAAAACGGTCAGTTACAACAAGGTTATTCACTAAAAGGGGAATTCAAAGTGAATTTCTAATTGAAAGGAACACTATGGCATTAGGAATACAATTCAGCATTCCTAACACTGTAGTGTTGCTGTCCCTACATTAGACAGGCACCCCTGTCTAATAAAATCACCTTTTTCCAGCGCTGAGGCTCCTATGGCTCTGCCGACCTCTCCTCCCCCTCTCTGACCTGTCCTCCTCCGCCAATGTCACGGAGGAGGGCCTGCCATCAGGGTACAATCCCTAATGGACATGTGCAGAAAGCACCATGTGATTTAAACCTTTCCATAGGGAATCATTGCTTTCCAATGGGGCTTCCATGTCATGTGACCGAGCGTCACTCAGTCTGTGCAGCAGTAGTGCCTCTAGTGGCTGTCTGTATGATAGACACTAGAGGAGGAATTAACTCTGCAAGGTGAGCAATGTAAGTTTCTCAAAACTGCAATGTTTTATATAGCAGGGTTCAGAAAACGGGGACAATGCACCCAGACCATTTCAATAAGATGAAGTTTTCTGGGTGACTAGAAATCAGCAGTTCGGCTGCTCTGACCTTAACTTTTAAATTCACTTTGCATGCACTTTAACTTCTCACTTTTAGTAAATAACCCTGAACAGTGTTTCTGCAGGGTAAAAGCTACCGCTGTTATTGCTTCCAATATCGAAACACAAAAATATTTAATATTACCTTTATTTATCACATATATTTAATAGATATGTGTTTGGGAGATCTGAAAAGTAAAATGAATAGCATAAATCCACAATCTAATAAATCCAGTACCTGGACAGAAATGGATTGATATTGTTTGTTAAATTGTTAATTTACAGTTGAAAGAAAATAGCATTTCGGTTCTGGACTGCCCTTATGGGTGGGATCAGTCTGATACGCATTGGAACTGGTTCTCTCTGTAATGGCACAAGGGAGCAAAAATTATTTTGAGAAATGAGCAAGGATTTACTGACCGGCACGCTACTGAGTTCCTCTAAGCTTTTGAAAATGGAGTATCACTCGTAAAAAAAAATAAAACATGTTAACACAAATTATAGGTCAGGGGTAGGCAACCTTTTAGCAGCACTGTGCCGATATAGGATTGTGATGTCCCGTAGCGTGTCGATCCTATTGTTTTTAATTGAGGTGTGTATGCTGCCGTATTCTGCTTGTGTTATTTGTACTGTAATTGCTTTGTATCGTTGTATTTGTGAGTATATGAGCTATTATATTGTATATGTTCATGAGTAGTTTGTGGTATCGTGTATGATACATATGAATGTGGGCTGTGTATGAGAGCTGCTTGTGGAATTGTGTGTGGATGGATGTGTCACATTGTGTGTTTGGTAGTGTGCGGGGGCTGTTTGGGGTATTGCATGTGAGAGCCTGCATGTGGGGTTGTGTGCATGTTTTATTGATTGTCAGTGGTTGTGAGTTTGTGCAGATTGTGTGTTGTGTTTGAGTGTGGGCTGTTTGTATTTTGTATGTGGGGAGGGTTATTCTGCAGCTCTGTGTATATCTAGCAGTGTGGGTGGCTTCCCTGGGTTCCAGTGGGGACCAGGCTGGCCAGGTACAGGTCAAAGACAGTGCTGCTGCTACAGGGCTGCTGAAGTTTCTACTTACTAGCCTGTGCTCTAGGAGTTCCTCGAGTTTCACAGAGGATGCCTGTTTGGTGGCCTTTAGGAAAGAACTGATGCATGAAGCCATAGGTTTACTTATTTCCTGATGTGGCTGTCAATGCATGCAGAATTGTCAGGCCGATGTTTGTGAGCCTGTCTACGCACCAAATTTTCACATGGAGTAATTCAGAGCTCAGATAATAGACTGAAAGAAAGTTTATCTACATAATGAGCATTACGAGTTGCTCGAGTGAGCAAACCTGCGCTGTAGCATTTACAAAACTCAGGACACCTGTCATTAAGTCATATGGGGGTGGGTGGAGGGCGCATACGGATACACTCTGTCTACTGCCGGCACAGTTGGGTAACAGTAAGTAAAGGAGACACTTGATCTGTGTGAGTGACTGCCATAATCAGTTTTTGACCCACATTAAAGGGAATTTACAATCAGACATGTTTACAATTCTATTTACCTTTAAACAAATGCACGCACAGTCTACGGCAGTTTCCGGCATCATATGGTCACCAGATTGAACACACTTTCCCGTTTACACTGTATTTTTGGATTGAATTTCCCTATTTCCGATGTTGGATACTCTTATCATTCCTGCCCAATAAATAAACCTATGTGTGCTGTAAAATGCTATTGTGCTGTGATATCCCTAATTAGTCTGCATGTGGTTAGGGTTTCTAGATCATAATCAGAGTCCCTTGTGAAACATTCATAGTCCATGAATGTATTGATTAAATCCTCCATCCCCTTCTGTATCCCACTTCTCGCCGCAGGTTCTTTTTCCATTGATTTCACCTCCTTGGTTCCCCCTCTGCCAATCTCTCTTACTTCTTTCTCACAGTCTCTAATTTATTGTCTTTCTATGTCTCATGTTGCAAATGTCTGTGTTTTCCCCCTTTTTGAGACCATGCAATATATTGAGGCTTATTCAATACGAGGGGGATTATCAGGAATTCAATAAGGATTTTCCACTAAACACCAAATTTTAGCCTCAATGTAGCCATCAATGCTTAGACCGTCAAGCACAGATGTTACATTAAGGGGTACATACCTTCAATTTGACGGCTGTTTTTTACACAGTCTAGAGTGAGTTGACGGTACATGGATGGTCTGTTCTTCCACATGTCGGCAGCTTCGAGGTTCACTGCATTTTCTGCTTGTGGATTGGATAGCATGACCTAGATTTCAAGACAGAATGCGCTGTGATTGGCTCTTGGGATGTTTTACCATATTAAAAGGCAAGCTATCAGTATTAACTTACAGATTATGGCTGCATGTATAGGTGGCGAGTTCTGAGATATTCTGGATGACTCAGTTTACAGTAGTGATTCTTCCTAACCCAGTTCTCAAAGCACACCACCAGTCCAAGATTTTGGCATTTTTTAAGTTCTGGTCCAATAAGGATAATCACAATCTGGACTCTTAGCAAAATTTGAAGGCCGGAACCACTGCTTTAGAAAATCACTAAAAGAGCTGCTTGTTTGATTTTGAACAAAAGAACAACTAAGTTTCCGATCTCACGTTTGCCTATTCATTTAATGGAGTTCAGTCACCCTACTAGAGTTACCAGATCCATCTGTTTTCAGGGACACAGATAACATAAATAAATATATATATAGATGGGCAGCTCATGAAAAGGGTTGTCCTGTAGTATCGAGATATCAGAAGAAGGTGAATAGGTTTAAGTAATTAGGCAATGAAGAATATGCATTATACATGGTGCAGGGCAACCCTTTTCATGCCTTTTCACAGGTATGACCAAATTATGTGTCCCTGACAACATGGTGGATCTGGTAACCCTAACAATGAAACCATCTTTCCTAATATTATCTCCACGTGTTACCACTGAGCAGCCTAGAAAAAAAACTGCGTGGAACCATTTTAATGATACTACTCTGTACGACGTACTGTGCATCCACACAGAGGAAAGCTACTGTGGAGATGAATAAGCCACCACACACAAGGTCACATTAAACCCCCTGGCGGAATGTTGCCATTGAGCTACTGAGGAGGCTATTGTAGAGCCATAGGAGGAAAGGCTACGATGGCACCACAGGAGAGACTGTTCTCCTGTAGCCACTTTAGGGAGAATTACTGTAGAGCCACATAAAGCATTTCATGTTAGAGTCCTCACTATTGTCGGTTTGTTTGATGGTTGTCAGTTTTGTGGTCTGTTCACCTCATAGCTTGGATTCACTTTATGTAATGATACCACAGATAGTGAGCCTTATCAAGTAGTGCTACTGAATGTAGTTATGGAGCGATTAGCAAGTATCCTGATAAATGTAATGATTCCTATGCAAGCCATGAGGGTATCCATTTACCTGGTGATGTATGTCTCTAAATCCATAAACACAAATATATGCAGCAACATTGATCATAACCATGCGTTAAATAATAAAAGATATTAAGATAATAGTTCAATGGTCCTACCTGGATAGTCAGTAGTATGGTACTCATTGTATAACGAGGGTTCCATTCTTCAAGGTTTTCCAGAAAGTTAATACAAGGAATTCCAGATGACTGATCCACTGCATTACAGAGAGGGCACACGGCTCAAAATGTGACACAAAGAGGACGGACAATTTTCAAATCGTATGGGAGTCCATGAAATAAAAGGTTTTTAGATGGATTTTTTTTTTTTTAATAAAAGGACAGTCTTAGCAACTAAAATACTTAGCTTAATGAAGCAGTTTTGGCGTATAGATCAAGCCCCTGCAGTCTCATTGCTCAATTCTCTACCATTTAGGAGTTAAATCACAGCCTCCATGAAAAATAAGACGTTTCATTTATACAGCACAGTTTGTTTACTTTAGATGTTTTTATCTCCTGTTCTGTTAATTGAACTTTAATCGCACACAGGAGGCTGTTGCATGTCCTTGGTCCCCGTCTATTTTCTCTTTATACTGCCTCTCTTGACAAACTTATTACCTCATTTGGATTCCACTACCACCTGTACACTGATGACACCCAGATATATCTCTCCTTCCCAGACCTCTCCCCTGCCAACCTGCAACATGTCACTGCTTGCCTTTCCTCCATCTCTGACTGGATGTCCTCCCGCTTTCTAAAACTAAATCTCTCTAAAACTCCTTGTCTTTCCTCCTCCTAATACTGATCCTCCTCTCTCGCTCTCCCTTCAAGTTAGTGGTATCCACATCAGTCCATCCTTGCAGGCGTGCTGTCTTGGTGTCATATTTGATTCTAGCCTCACTTTTGAGCCTCACATCCAATATATTGCCAAATCCTGTAGATTCTATCTTAAAAACATAGCCCACATCCGCCCCTTTCTTACGCAAGATTCTACCAAAGAGCTTGTCCATGCTCTAATAATTTCCCTTTAAAATGTTTGTGCATAACTCCCAAAAAATAGTTATGGAGCTTGTTAATAGTCATAGCCTTAGTCATGGCGTACAAAATATGGATTAAAAGCTATTTCACAACTTTTCAGGATCTGTTTGCTATGGTAATCTTTATAGGGTCCCGTTCCTAGTAGTGACAGATCGGTTCTGGATAATGACACAAAGTGGCCTCAAACAGTCATAGAGTGTACGGAATCCAATTTCATCTCTTTTTATGAAAGAAAAAAAAACACTTCAGCTGAAAAATGTCCGCTCTGTATCCATTTCTGACATTGAAAGGCGCTGAACACGGATTGTGTTTTAATGCTGAACAGAAATTGTCAAATATTTCTCAGGGTCCCTTATGGCGCATGGAAAAAAATATTAGGGAACGTATATTTGTCTTTGACAAATTGGACTGCGCCGTCCAAACAAGTATCAGGTTTGACAGATGTGAATTTTCCTCGGAGGGTTGAGCTAATGGTGTTTTAGAGAATGTGATAAGGTCACACTTAGGAAAAGATGACAAGTCAAATCATTTTTTTTGGACGCTCTTACTAGACATTTTTTATTGTAAAAATATGGAAATATAGTTTAAAGCAAACTTTGTTTTTACATGTATACTTTCTTTATTGCAAACGTCCCTTTATGATCTAGAACTGAAGAATAGTTTTAACACATTTTAGTGTTTGCATAGAAAGTACAGTGAGAGATCTGTATCCTATTATCGTCTGTAACAATAAAACAAATGAACAGACTGGACATTTCAACACTGCAGGGTATTTCGGGTCTAATGACATCAAATAAATGAACGTGGTTTGTGGATTTTCACTTTCCAGCCCTAGAAACTAATTTTAGGTTTAACCCTTCCAGTGTCAACAGGGGTGAGGGAAGAAAAATAAATAAACGAATTAGTCCATTTGATTAAAAGCTAAAAAAAAAATTAAAAAATCCCTGGAGTTTCCAAAATGAAAACATAAATTTTTCCATGTTTTTCTTTCATTTAGAGGGAAATTTCAGTAATAAAATGCAGGTTATTCTCATGTGAAAAAAGAGCATTTTATAACTTTTATAATCTACAATCCAATCAAAAGTCTGAGTACACTTGTTTGGCAGTACTTTAGTCTTGGGCAGCTTTGCTAGCAAACACAGAATACATCAGAGGACGCCAGTTCATCATAATGAAAGTCATTTTCAAGCTCATTCTTTGGCCAGATAATAATCTGAAACATATCCAGCATACTATTTAGGCTTCTGGCTGGTTTGAAGGATCCTACCACTTTGTTTATGCAGTCGTAGCCACACCTCCTCTGGCTGTGACTTACACAGCCTCACTACACACTTCCTGAAAAAGAGTCTAACATTTTTATCTTCCCTTATTGCACGGTGTGTTTATAGAAGCTCTGTCACCTTCCGGGGGTCTTTGCATATTTTACAAAGATTTCAGATTGGATGCAGTTATACTTACCTACTGCTGTCCCTCACCCCACCCACCCCCCCACCCTCCCACCCCCCAGTCACCAACATCTTCGATCTTCAGCTCTTGACGCTCCATTTTCCACATGTGCAAGAATACGGTCTACGGAGGATCCCTGAGACTGGGAGCCTCCAAAGATATTATCTTGTGAAAGGTGACGGCAGACGGCATTCTCAAACTAAGAATTTACCATGAGACAAAGTAATCTCAACTCTGTCTTACGATATTTTTTGACTGCTTTGGAATTTTAATAAACTTCCATTACAGGCTTCATGAATATTTCATAAAGGATTTTATCTCAAAGCCTTGGAGAGGGGTGACAGAGCTGCTTTAATTTAGAATTTCGTATGGTCTGGTAATTGCCTGTTAGATCTTACAGCAGACTACTGTGTGTTTAAAGTTTAATTAATAGGGAATAAGACGTTCTAAAGTAAATACACTATGCTGTGAAAATAAAACCTTTTTTTTTGTGGAGGCTGTGTGCGTCATAGCCAGGGGAGGTGTGTCTAGAGCTGCATGAACGAATTAATGAAAGTGATTTAACTTCTAAACTGCAAAGAACGGAGCAGTGAGTCTGCAGGTGCATCATAATAATATGAGTAATGTGTCTGAAACTAGTTTATACCCAACATCGACAAATTATTTTGGAAAACCATATTATCTTCATCTTACCATTTGGATGAAACGGGATGGTATTAAATGTGATCTTTGGAGGGAGGGCGTTGTAATTCTCAGGATATGTCATGTAGAGTTGGAGAACACATCCTATATTAAATAAGAAATAATGTATTTTCAATGTAATTGACTAGAGCTCAAGCTAAAAATAGTGTACATTAATGTGAAATGTGATGGTGCATTTAATAGTAAACTCAGCAGGGTGTGAGATGGCCAGGTATACGCAGAAGCACTGCCAGTTGTGTCATTCCATGTGAATTGTTGGGTATACAGTGTAAGTTCTGAATTATAGGTAAAATAGCCATAGTAGAAGTACTTTGGCCTAAATTCTAATATCTACTTTGAATTTACTTTGAATTCCCACCATTTCACATAAACTGATCAGCCATAACATAAAACCACTTGCCTAATTTTGCGTAGGTCTCCCTTGTGCTGGCAAAACAGCTCTAATGCATCGAGGCATGGACTCCACAAGACCTCTGAATATGTCCTGTGATATCTGGCACCAAGACATTAACAGCAGATCTTTTAAGTTCTGCACGTTGCGAGGTGAGGTCGTGGGTTTGATTTGTTGTTCCGGCACATCCCACAGATTTTTAATCAAATTGAGATCTTTGTCCTGTTCCTCAAACCATTCCTGAACAATTGTGCAGTGTGAAAAGGTGCATTGTTCTGCTGACAGAAGCCACTGCCACCAGGAAATACCATTGCAATGAAAGGGTGTACGTGGCCTGCAACAATATCTAGGTAGGTGGTACGTGTCAAAGTAACATCCACAACTAAGGTTTCCCTGCTTCTGCCAGCCTGCCTTCTTCCTATTGTGCGTCCTGCTGCCATCTCTTCCACAGGTAAATGACCCACATGCACCCAGCCATCCAGATTCATCAGCCCAGGCAACCCTAACCTTAAATTGCTTCAAGGTCCAGTTCTAATGCTCATGTCCCCATTGAAGGCAGTTTTGGTGGTAAACAGGGGTCATCATGGGCCCTCTGACCAGTCTGCAGCTGCACAGCCCCATATGCAGAAACTGTGAGGCACTGTATGTTCTGACACCTTTGTGTCATGCTCAGTGTTAAAGGAACACTAAATGTATTATAAACATGTATTCCTGAGCCTATAGTGCTAAAACAACAATTTAGATGGCTTGTCCTCTCCCCCCCTCCTTAATATCCCTAAAAAGTAATAAAAAGTACCTTGTATCCAGCCCTGCGCAGGTCCGCAGGCGCTGGCCTGCCCCTGAACCGCCTCCTTGTTTAAATCATCAAAATTTATGATTTCAACCAATCCAATGTTTTCATAGGGAAAGCATTTGATTAGCTGAAATCCACAAGGAGGCGGGATGGGGCCGGGCCAAACGCTGGCTTGGCCAATCAGCACCTCACTAGATCAATGTATCTCTATGAGAACAAATCAGCGTCTCCATACAAAGCAGTGTGCAGCACTGCCCCAGGAAGCACCTCAAGTGGCCATCTGAGGAGTGGCCTCTTGAGGTATCTATAGGGGGCAATGTATCGTGTTTACATAAAAATGCCTGAATATAATGATTATACTCACCAGAACAACTACACTAAGCTGTAGTTGTTCTGGTGACTTAAGTGTCCCTTTCCGAGTTACAGTAGCTCTTCTGCGTGATCAGACCAGGGTTGTCCTTCCTTGCACTATTTTTGGCAGGTACTAACCACTGCAAACCGAGAACACTCCACAAAACTTGCTGTTTTGGAAATGCCCTGACACAGCCATCTAGCCATCACTAATTGGCCCTTGTCAAAGTCACTTTCTTTTTTCTCTCTTTTTACTTGCCCATTTCCCCTGCTTCCAACACATGAAATTAAAGAATTGACCTATCAGTTGCTGCCCAATATACCCCATCTATTGACACGTGCCATTGCAATGACATAATGTTATTCACCTGTCAGTGGATTTAATGTTGTGGCTGATCAGTGTATATACCTCCTGTCTACAACCATAAAGCTTAATCACTACTCCTAACTATCTAACCCTTTAAAAAAGGCTTGAGTGCTAGTTATGTATTTATACCCCCAACAAGTGAAAGTGAATACATTGAATTGCCATGGTAACCACAGCGCATGCTGTGCAACTCATGAAGAGCAGAGGGACCTCCTGTGGGAAGTGTCTTCTGCTCTCCCTGTCTCTCAATTCCTCTACATTGAGTGTCTGCCGAGGAATAGAGGAAAACTTATTAATTTAGACATTTGCCATCAAACCTGCTAGCACAATGTATAGATAGAATTTTAAGTTCTTTTAAAAGAGCTAAAGTAGTCCACTGCCTCAATATAAAACCATGACGGTCAGCAGGTAGGATTTAATGCTATACTTTTAAATTAATCGAATTTCAGAAACCGCTATGATGGACGATCTTTAACAAGCCGTCCGCTGTCTAAATTTAAACACAGATGATAATACCTTCCCAGAGGGAATCTTTGAGACCTCGGATTTCAGCTACCCATTCAAGCAAACGATCAGTTCTTGGTGTCGCAGAGATGCCCTGAAACACAAATGATGACATTTAGCAAATTATCTCTAAAATGTATTAATCATGGTTATACTATGGGAAAAATATATTAATCATATTAAAGGGACACCACCACTTTAAAATGACTTTCTTTTCACAAACCATGTATGTCAGGGTTCCTTTAATCTGGGTATAGAACTAACAGTTTCATTCTTAATTTTTAATTTTGTTGTTAAGTAAAACACAACTGGCAAAATGCAAGCAAACATGTCTGATATGGGAAAAAGCTGCACTTCAACTATAGTCACAGCATGGCTATTTTAGCCTTAAAGAAACACTATAGGGTCAGGAGTTGGCAAGGAGGTAGGATAGCCAATCAGGCCAATCAGCAGCTTCTAATAGAGATGCATTAATTCAATGCATCCCTATGAGGAAAATTCAGCGTCTCCATGCAGAGCGTGGAGACGCTGACCGTTAGTGTTGCACACTGTGCAGCACTGCCCCAGGAAGCACCACTAGTGGTCACTGGAGGTGTCCCAAGGGGGCAATGTAAACACTGCCTTTTCTCTGAAAAGGCCATGTTTGCATGAAGATGCCTGAAGAGAATTATTATACTCACAGAACAACTACATTAACCTGTAGTTGTCATGGTGACTATAGTGTCCCTTTAATTTTGCCATTTAAATCTTAGTTCACTGCAAAAAAAAAAAAAAAAGCTACCCATCCACCCATTAAAAACCCACGGATAATTAACAAGTTACTTTAATTAAAACTAGAGATTAAGATTAATCTAGGAATATTAATTTTTATGCTCTTTTAAGTGACAGCAATAAGTATTAAAGGGACATTGTCCCTTTAATGGCACTATAACCATTTTATTTTATTAAATTGATTATAGTGCCTGAAGTCCTCTGGCACTGTCCATCCATTTAGTGTTTTTTTTGAGTAGTATAACACTAAACAATAGCTAAAATAGAGATTATACACTTCCTTTTAGCCATAATTCATACCAGCAACGGGCACTGTGATAGGCTGAATTAAATCAGTTGACAATCTCAGCCAATCATAGTCACCCATTGTTGCTTAGGCTAATGCTTCCTCATTAGTCCAAGCAACACAGAGGTGATCAGCTGCCAGGGACTCTTGTTTAACATTAAAACATTAAATATGATTTACTACTGAATGAAATGACAGCACCAGAAAACTCCAAACACTATAAGTACTTCAAATCCTGCAGTGTCCCTTTAATTGTGTCAGGCGCATTTCACAGGCGCATTTCTGCCTAGTGAGTGGAGTACAGACATTTGGCACAGTGCATTGCCAAGGCTTGAAATAGACTGGTAAAACATTTAATCTTAAACCTTTATCTATGTACTTGCCAGCCAACTGGCTAACATGACATCCATGTGAAATCAGGATCACATTAAATTGGTTCTCAGCCACATTCAGCATGACAGGGTCCCTTTAAACGTGATCCCTAACAGGACACAGTTGAAGTAGTCTGAGTGCGGTTATCACAAGTAAGAAATAAGCCAGTTATTTGCTTTGTGATAGCATTGTGTGTAAAGTGATCTGTAAACCGAAATCATTAATAACACTTAAATACCTAGCTATGCCGCCATTTCGAAAAACAAAACAAAAACCCGAAAATAATTACTTCTCAGCTTTCAGAGCACGTTAAACGCACCGCTATCACTGAGCTTCCTGGGAAATCAAGGCGGATTTCTTTCTTTTTTAATAATTATCAATAAACGCCTAGTTATAAGGAAGTTTGGAGAGCAATATTTTGGTAAAGGTAGTTTTACTTGAACACCATTTATTTATGAGACCAGAAGTGTTCCTTAAAGCGGCACTGTCATGGCCGCATTTGATTTTTTTTTTAACCCCCTTCCCAACTCCACAACATCTAACTGACCCCTAGCCACCTCCAAATGCTTTATTTTATGGTCGTACCTAGGTCCTGGGCGCCGCCATCTTTGTGTGGGCAGATGAAGTCAATGTGGGACACGTCATCTGCCCACACTACATAGCGCTTTGAAATTCCCGCACATGCCCAGTTAAACACTTGGGAATTCGCTGTTGTCCAAAATTCAGACGGGAATTTCGTCTATTAATTAATTCATCAGAAGGACAAATAAATGTATTGAAATTTCAGACGAACAAACAAACACCGAATGTCGAAAGGCATATTGTCCCCCTCCAACTCTAAATGACAATAAATGACAAAAGAAATCTTACCATTTGATGTCTTCTTTTTTTTAAAACCTTTTTTTGGGCCCCCAAAAAAGGCCAAATTTAAAACCATAAAGCCCGTCGAACTTATAAAATAAAAGAAGACCCGAGCGCAAAAAACCCCCAAACAAACGAAAAAAAAAAACACGCCAAAAAAGATAATTCATCTTCACCCAGGGAGGACACCGCGCAGACTGAGCTCCGCAGTCAGGGAAAGGCTTATTCCACGCCCTGCAATTTGACTCAGAGCACTCTAATTGGTTTAAGCCAACCAATAAAAGTGCTCTGATAGCTAAATAGTGAGCCTTACCTGATTGGTTACCTGTAAGGCACACTACTTACCTATCAGAGCACTCCTATTGGTTGGCTAAAACCAACCAATCAGAGCGCTCTGAGTCAAATATGGGCTGTGCCCTCCCTGGGTGAAGATAGATTATTTTTCAAGCGTTGGGGTTTTTTGTTTTTTTCGGGTGTCCCCCCCATTGTATTTTAGGGCCCCCTCCCACCACTCATGGGTGGGGACCGGGGGAGACAATAGGTCCCCCCTTATTGTAATTTAGGGCCACCACCCGCCGCTCATGGGTGGGGGCCAGAGGGAGGAGGACAATAGGTTCCCACCATTGTTTTTTAGGACCCCCACCTGCCGCTTGAGTGGGGGATGGGGGGACAATAGGTCCCCCCTTATTGTCATTTAGGGCCCCCACCTGCCACTAATGGGTGGGTGCCGGGGGGACAACAATAGGTCTTCCTCCCCATTGTTTTTTAGGGTGGGTAGGGGCCGGGGGAGGACAATAGGTGTGTGTGCCCATTGTCATTTAGGGCTCCCACCCGCCGCTCAGGGGTGGGGGCAGGAGGGGGACCCTATGTCCCTTGTTTAATTAAATAGCCCCCACTCGCAGGGCATGGGTGGGAGCTTGGAGGCTGACTTAAGGCCATGTTCGAGGTTCACTTTCTTGTTCACGACCCAATTTGCTAAAGGAAGAGGACCAACATGGGTTGATCTCCATTGTATTAGCCACTTTATCTGGAAACGTAGGCCGGAGAAATTCAGCCCTCAATCAAGCATGTAACTCTTAGTCGAGGGGTTGACATTGCCCCAGTTTAAGGAATTCAGTAAGTGTTCTGGCTGAATTTGGGTGTCGAATCAGCCCGGAGTACAGGATGACCTTCAGTGTCTAGCAACTCCTTAGGCTGGTTTTCTGCTTCAGGGAATCACTGGTGTATTAGTGGATTTGTTTGATTTGGTAAACACTGTCTCCCTAATGGAAGGAGTAATGGTGGCTCCTAGATCTTGTGAAAGAAGGAAGTTTTTCATCATCAGAGTAACCAGCAGAGTATTTGTCAATCACCAGTAGGTTATAACAAGTAGACCCTTCCAGTGGATCCAGATCTTCTAGCTGAGCGTGGAAAGTGGTGGCTAACCTGGGTGTTTTGCAGTAACTATCCCTTTGCCCGCACGAGTGCCTAGACTGGGCATAGGCAACCTTCGGCACTACAGATGTTTTGGACTACACCTCGCATGATGCTTTGCCAGCATTACGGGTGTAAGAGCATTATGGGGGATGTAGTCCAAAACATCTGGCGTGCCGAAGGTTGCCTATCCCTGGCCTAGACCTAGACCCCTAGGGGTTTTTCTGGCATGAAGTCTCATGACCTGAGTGATGAGAATCATGAGAGTCTGAGGCCTGTGGGTCAGTTTAAGGTATGTTAGAAGTAGGTTGCGTATTATGAAAAGAAGCCAAGGCTTTAGGAATGGAATCGGAGATCATGGCAACCATCCAGGATTTCAATTCCCCAGAGACTACAACTTCAGGGTTGTCAGCCATGGTAGAATTGCATAATTGTAATAACACTGTGTAGATAAACAAAATGAAGGTATATATATAACTGTATAAATAGAATAAGGGGTCATCCTTCACGATAGAGGAGGTCAACCACAGAGTAGAGTATCAAGCTGTGAGATGGTCACCCAATATTGTTGCACTGGACTATGATCTTTTTTTGGGATCACCCAATACAGTTGTGGGATTCACTCACAATAGAAAAATAATGTGAGTATCACCCACAAATAGATACCCTTGGTGGGTGTAAGTTAGTGGCAGATCAGTTATTGTGGAAGAATATATATATAGATTGGGGTTCACCCAGTAGGGACAGGCACAGTAAGTCCCATTACTGATGCTGAGTGGAAGGTTGATGTCTGGGGACTCCAAACACGATAACCACTTCAATAAGATGTAGCAGTTACAGTGCCTACAGTGTCCTTTTAACTAATAACCCTATCTATTAAGTTTACTCCTAATTAACTATTGCAGAGGTCATTTACTAAAATATGAATTGGCACAAAGTCCTCAAGGAATTGCAAATTGTAAGACAAAATATATGAATCTATCCAAATTGTCAATCAGCTCGAATTGTATTCACCACACACAGAATTGTGGTGACTTCAAAACCAAATTGGAATATTAATGGCTAAAACCGACAAATTGTGACTATATTTTGGCCTAAACGGGAATTTGATTTTTAATTTACTATATTTCAGATATATTTCAAAATCATTTTTTTTTTAGATAAAATTGGCACAGTTTTGTGAATTGCCCTGAAGGTCCAAATTATTTGCATAATAAGCACATCCTCCAATACGTGGCATTTGTAATTTCTCTTATGTTTTGTTATTTTAGTTTTTCTTTAATTCCTTTGGTCAGGCTACATTTGCAAACCAAACCCTAAATTGCACAGCGGTTATAGAATAAAAAAAATAAAAAATTAATAATAGACCTGAGAGATTTTGGTACGTTTTCCAACGTGTTAGCAGAGGATAATCCCAACATGCAATGTACTCTGATCATAGATAGATGTGGTATATTTATGCTTCGTTTGTATATAGTATAAAAAAAAAAGTCCTGCGGGGATTCAAGTGCCTGAGACGCGGATGTTAGTTTTTCCTGGGAACAAACCGCTATGTGGAATGCTATATAATTACTGCAGAAACATGTGATTAAACTGTTATTTTATTATGTTATTGTTATTTTGTATTAATAAAGTTCTAACGTATTCTACAGCGCTGTACAATTAAGGGAAACAGTACAATTTAGACATTACACTGAAAAGGACAACTCATGTGAGCTAAAATCAAACATTTACAACATTTTTACACAAAATGCTTTGCAATATGGCTCATGAGCTTACAATCTAAAGGATCTAAAGTGTAGGGAGAGTGGTATCAGAAATGAAAATTCTCTGTGCACACCCAACACTTAGAGCAGGAGTTTCTGGGGTGTGTATTTTTATTTTTATTGCATTTTTTTACAAAAGCTGACAGCTAATCTATGACTATCAGAAATCGTTGTATTTCCCGCTGACATGTTTAACTGTGTTATTGGAGACGACAGAATAGAAGGAAGGTACAGAACGTGAGCTTTACACAGGTACACTAACCAAAAAGAATCAAATATTTTAGGAAATCCTTTGCAGTATACTGAACATACAAAAAAAATAGAGCTAATTATTTAGGCTCAAACCTATAAAATACATTAAAGATGTCTTGGTGCCCGCAGTGTGCTCTTCTGGAGAATATGCATAAACTGTTAGGTCACAAGTAGCTAAATAGATAATTAGTAAGGATCTCTGGCATGCAATAAAAGTAGATGGGGAGCAGGGTATGGTGGGAGAGTGGGTGCCCAGCAGTTGTAGGAGAGATGTGATAGGGAAAATAGGTGAAGAAACATTAAAGGAGATAGAAAATAGTTAAACAGTGTATACCACAACAGTCATATATATATCCAGATACTCACGTAAAGTTGAGCTTCCTGTAGCTGCAGGTATTCTCTCTCTAATAGTAAATAGGCTCTTGAGTGCATAGTATAGCTCTTTCCCAGTCGCAGATTGACAAACTGGAATTTTAACAGAAAACAGGCTTTGTAGTCAGAGAATTTACCGGCTTTGGTTGTCACCTTTCAAAATCTACACATGTTATTTGGCGACTTTGGAATCATGCCCTAATGTGTTTAATACCCCATCTCCTATAGACTGTAAACTCGTTTTAGCAAGGTCCTCTTCAACCTATCGTTCCTGTAAGTTGTCTTGTAATTGTCCTATTTATTGTTAAATCCCCCCTCTCATAATATTATAAAGCGCTACGGAATCTGTTGGCACTATATAAATGGCAATAATAATAATAATGACAGCTACTGTCCACAGTCCATTCTCTAGGCCTGCGCTGTCCTGCGTTTGACAACAACTCCCATAATTCTTTGCCCATTTATTGCATGCAAAAGCTTTTGAGAGATGTAGTCCATCAACATCAGATACTGACATATGACAACCCTGATCTAGACAGGTGCCCCCTAACATAAAGTCCACCTGATATTAATGGATTACGTCATGGTATTCCAAGCCTCATGCTCCAAGCTGTAGTGGTTATGGTAACTGGGGTAACCCATCTAATTCCTTCCAGCACTACATACACCCTATTCCTATCTCTAACTACTCCAACAGTTACAGACACAAATTTTACTCTAACCTTACCCTAACGACTCCTTCTTAACAGCGGAAGCACTGTGTTGTTATAGTGGCAATGTCAGCAGCATTTTAACTGTATAGGGAATTGTAAGACTGTTCATTTTGTTTACAATTATTGAATTGTAAAGATTAGCAATTCTATTTTTTTTCTGATTTAGTTAATTAAGTTGACATATTTTTCTATATAATTAACTGTGTATGGGTGGAGAGGAGCAGGGGGTCTGTAAAATCTGGTGGTTGAAATCTGTCATCCCCTCTCCACCCTGGATTTAATGTCATAGTCGGAACACTCATTCCGTAAATGGATCTACAAAAAGTTGCAGAAAAGAGATATTTTGTCTGTCATTTGCAAGTCAATGCAGCTCTCCAGACATAAACTATGGTAAAGGCCTGAACTAAATGAAACAAAATGAAGTTTTTAATTTTTGGTAAATCCAGGAGCATCACTAGATGTGTTGGCTGTAGTATATGAAATGTGGAAGTCGATCTAAATCACTAGCAGAAATTTTGATGGATCAGAAAAATCATTTTGGGGTTAGTTGCTGGGATAGAATACCTATTAATATTTTATGTCATAATATTTGAAGGTCTAAAGATATATCATTTTTTAAGTTATAATTTTTTTTCAGTATTGCCGTAGAAATGTAATGTTTATTACTTGGAATGTAACAATATATAATAATTATACGTTCTCCTGCCCTGCTCAGTTCCTCATAATATTCTCAGAACTGAGTCTAACCTCAGCTTTAACCAGACAATCTCTAGATATTACCCTGTGGTTCATAATAGTGCCATTATTTTAGCTCAAAGACACCAGATAAAGTCCCATTAAAAATTCTGATTTCATGCATTGTAAATGAACATGTTCAATGCAGACCCAACTTCTATACTTTGAAAACTGCCTGAAGCACATTGTATCACCCACACAAAGACACAAATGTTGATGATGCTTAAAGGGGAACTATAAGCACTGTTTTCACTAAAGTGTGCGATTTCTAAACTTTTGACACTTGATCCACAAGGTGCCTGTGGTCTTTTTGGTCGCCTGCGATATCACTAAAACTGTTCCCATTCTGCTTTACAAATACTAATTTTTTTTGTCCATATTAGGATGGAATTCACTAGCTGAGATGGTCAGCTGAAAATCCAAAAAAATCCATCCAAAGTTTGACAAAATTGATACTGCCAAAGCAGAATAGGAACTTCTAATTTACTAGAAGATCCATGGACGTGTGAGGGGAACCAGCTAAGTAACAAACCATTTGAAACAGCTTGGCTCCTTAGTGTAGAATGTGCCAGGGGTAGTGGTTCCTCGTTCAGAGGGGCACATGGAGCAGCCCCCCATCAGTTTCTATGTGGGGAAAAAGATAATTTGCAGTAAGATTATTTTTTCTGGATGGGACGGTGGTAAGCCCCAAAAAATATGGGAAAACTATTAGTGTCTTTTTAATTCTGTAATAGTTTTTTTTTAGCTAAATATGTATTTCTCTGTATTGTATTTAATTCTACCTGTTGTGTAGGTATCTCTGTAGTCTACCCAACTCTGTGTATTGGAAATGTATCTTTGTATTGTGCGCAGATCTGTGTATTATATCTGTTTTTACTCAGCTCTGTTTGCGCTATGGTTATCTCTGTATTGTACTCAGCTCTATGTATTTTATAGATATTTTTTTGTTGTGTCCAGCTTGCTTTATTGTATGAGCATCTCTGTATTAAAGCAATACTATAGTGTAAGGAAGACAAAGTCGTGATCCTAGCACTATAGTTCTCTCTGTAGCTGAAGTGGTCAGGGTGTCTATAGTGTCCCTTTAAGCTCAGCTCTGTGTATTGTATGAGTATCTCTGTACTCTATAGGTAGGAGAAAAATTATGGGATAGGAATCTGGCGCCCCACCATCTTATAACTTCACCAGCATCCACTCCTTGGCACTCCTGGCTTCATAACCGCTACAGCCTTTTGTAGTGTCTATGATCTTTAGAGAACCACATGAGTTCTAAGATTATCAACAAAACTGCCATTTGCCCAGGATACACCACAGTCCAAAAAAACTGAGAATTATTCTAATTTATCTATTTTGAAAGAAAATTTTGTTATTTTCCCCACTAAACGGCAGAAATCCCAATACATTCTCCTTTCCAATTCAACCATCTTGTTAAATTTAATTTATTAATAGATGCAAACATATATAAACACATAAATATTTGCTTCAAATTTATAAACTAAATACTCAGATATAAACGAAAAAAACAAACTTGTGTAAATATATTCTTAATACAGTGTATCCATCTCTCTATACATATACACATATAATGTAATGTAGCTCAAGCTGAGTTTGATGTATATTTTGTAGCATGTCAGCTCACACAGCTCTCAAGACAAAGCACTGAAAGGTTTAATGCATCAATCACAGATACTACCTGGCTGCTTTAATATTGTCCTTCTCTGGTGTTTTCCAATAATCCCTCCTGACGTTATCTGGAAGTAAATAACCCGGAGCTAACAGTAGATGTATATTATTTTATAAAAGTATATAACGTATCGTCCTGGGTAGGATGTCTGTCTGACTCCCTGGTATTAGATACACATATAGCAGGTTATTAAGAGTAATATAACTTGTTACAATGTATCAATGTGAGATAGTATACAAAATGCTATCTGCAGCCTGGCTGCCTGTTAGAGGAGAGGCCTTGTTGTGTATGTGTTCCCATGGCAACAGGACAGCCTCATGGGGAGGTGTCAGGGAATGAAAACTTTAACTGCTTCAGTCCTGGAAGAAGTTATGCCTGTGTACTCAAAACTGGTTTAATGACACAGACTAATTAATTAATTAATTAATTAACTGTTTTCTGGGAACACTGTCTAGAGCAGATTATTCAAATACACCCCTGCTGTGAACCTCAACTCTTAAGAGCCTTTCCCAGTTAACTGGCGAGGGTTGTAAAATTTCGGCGTGGGGTACAAGTTCAAATGATTGACTTTTTTTGCAACTGAACCTCATCGATTCCCTATCACAGGAAATAGCCTAATGATTCAATAAAGGCAAGGATAGCATTGATATCACAGGCCACTAGCCCACGCACAAACCGACACAGTGCTGGGCTAACAGGCACCCGGCAAATTCCTTCCTGCTCCCCAATTATTTTTACATTCTGCCAGCAGACAAACATAAGAAGAATGGTGTGAGGCTGCAGTCCTTAACTCCTTAAAGGAACACTATAGTGTCAGAAATAGAAATGTATTTCTGACACTATCGTTGTAAAAACACAGTTGCCCCTTGCCTCTCTTTAAAAAGGTAGTTTGCGTATCTTTTTTTCTAGCACCGTGCTGGTCTTATTATAGCTGGCGCCGGCGCCGTCCACTCTGCCTCCTTGGCTGAGATCATCAAATTTGACAATCTCACCCAATCCAATGATATCCCATAGGAAAGCGCGGGAGGCTATTGCGCATTCATGGCATTATACCGCGCTGCATCAATCAGCATCTCCTCATAGAGATGCATTAAATCTGTTGCACAGGAAGCACCTCTTGTGGCCGTTTCAGTGACTGCCACTGGAGGTGTTCCTAGGCACCAATGTAAACACTGACTTTTCTCTGAAAAGGCAGTGTTTACATTTAAATGCCTGCAGGGACAGACAATACTCACCAGAACAACTACATTACGCTGTGGTTTTTCTGGTTACTGCAGTGTCCATTTAACTCTTCTATGCTAGCAATCCAGGGGGCATTTGCCACACTGTCCCTCTTGCCCACCCTCCCCGGCCAATGAAAGACATCAACTGATTGAAAGCATTTACATCAAAAATGGCAACCTTTTATTTTTGTAGATTTGCAGGAAGCTATACATCCTAAAAAATAATTGTGAGGCTTTCAGAGTATGTTGGGATTGTATTTACTATTAATATTTATAAGCTAGTAGTTAAATATTTCAAAATAACATCTAGGGGCCCAGATTAACCATTTAAATCCCTTAAAAATCCTACTTCTCAGTCCTCTGAAACCATATGTTTTTGTTTCTTTTCAACAAAAATCCAAGCTCTTTTCAGAGAAGTCAAGAAATACAAAGTATTAACCTATTCCGAAATTCCGACAAACAATGAAAAGCTAGCAGATGGAGCGTGATTGTCATTTCTATGTTGTAGTAGGTCCAGGGATCACATTTGGAGATAATTCCACTTATATTTTTCATAGAAGAGAAAGAGTAGACACAGATGTTTTTAATAATATCCTTTTTACTTTTATTTATATATATATATTACATATTCTGCACTTGATCTCTCAGGTCGTTTGATGTGAGTATGCGGTGTTTTTAATAACTGCATAAGGGAAGGGATATCTTGGAGGAGCGATAAAGAACTAAAGTTTAATATTGAAGAGTCCGATGGGGAAAGATGTCTATCCTAAAAATAATTGGAATATTAAAGCATGAGAGGGAGGCCTAAACAGGAACCATTGTCAAAATCTGAACAATGGCCATATATATATACTCCCAATGCAGTGTAAGGCTCCTTTTCTGTATACTGGATCACAGTAAATCAGGAGTTTATAATTATCTGGAATAGCGGGGCTTGATTTTAGCCTTCCCACTGCTGCATTACCAGAATTCACTGCAGACTACACACACGCTTGCGATTGGTGCCAAATTCATAATCCAAAGGGAATATAACCAAATTAACTTGAATTAAAAAAAAAAAAAAAATTTAAAAATGCTTTTCAATTTCCATAACTTTTACTTCAGTATTTTGTTATTGACTATCGCAGTAACAAGCTTGACAATGTATAATTTTTGTGACGTGTGCAGTGTGCATACCTAAAGAGTGTGTTTGCAAGTGCTTTTTGCTCAGTGCAGAAACACACACTACATGCATGCTCTGTGCATGTCATAGATGGGAAACTCATTCATAGTCAACACTTAAGACTTCGGCAAGTTAGACTTTGCTAATTAACACCTTCAAAATGTCGCAGGTTTGGTGGGACTGTCCTAATTTTGGGATCCTGTCTTGCCATTACAGATTAGTTATCCCAACCTTCTCTTACAAGCTCCTCTTTTCTAAAAGTATACATCCACTCCATAATTCAGTTTTCCGCCAGTTCTCTATATTTTATTTCCTCCATTATCTCCTCCACAAAATCTTCTTCATCTTCTTCCATCAGCTCATCTCCTCCACCAGCTCATCTTCTTCCTTCAGCTTATCTCTTCTATCAGGTCATCTCCTTCCATTAGCTCATCTCCTCCATCATCTTATCTCGTCCATCATCTTATCTCGCCCATCATCTTACCTCGTACATCAGCTCATCTCCCTCCATCAGCTCATCTCCTTCCATAAGCTCATTTCCTTCCATCAGGTCATCTCCTCCATTAGTTCAGCTCCTTCCATCAGTTCATCTCCTCTATCTTCTTATCTCATTAATGATCTCATCCTACTTCATCCATCAGCCCTTTACTCCATCGTCTTATCTCCTCCATCAGCTCACATCCTATCTCTTCCATCAGCCAATCCTTCTTCATCAGCTTTTCTTCCTCTATCAGCTTATCTCTTCCATCAGCTCATCTCCTCCTCCACTAGCTCATCTCCCTCCATCAGCTCATCTCCCTCCATCAGCTCAGCTCATCTTCCATTAGCTCATTTCCTTCCATCAGGTCATCTCCTCCATCAGCTCACCTCCTTCCATCAATTCATCTCCTGTATCTTCTTATCTCCTTCATTATCTCATCCTTCTTCATCAGCTCAACTTCCTAGATCAGCCCTTCACTCCATCATCTTATCTCCTCCATCAGCTCACATCCTATCTCTTCCATCAGTCAATCCTTCTTCATCAGCTTTTCTTCTTCTATCAGCTTATCTCTTCCATCAGCTCATCTTCCTCAGTCAGCTTACCTCCCCACATCACCTTATCTTCTCCATCAGCTCATCTTCCTCATCATCCCCATAAGGTACTCTACTCTCACATTCCCCTCCACGGGATTGACAGGGTTATGCACCATAATGCGAATTGTTGGGAATTCAAAGTGAATTTTGAGTTTTAGGCAAAAATAGCTGAATTGGAAAATTGCTGTTTTCTCAGTTTGGGTATTAAAGCCTAAAATATGATAATCACTTTAAATTCATCTTAAATTCCTGAGAATTCGCACTATACTGAATCAGGTCAAACCAGTAGGTGGCAGTCCCCCAAACTTGTTCATATACTATCATGGGCTTCTTAATAGTATCAAGAAATAATACATTAAAACAACTTGGGGCAACCTTGTTTGTTTGAAGATTTTTCGAGACACAAACTGTATGTTACAAAAGTTGTACTTGCAATAATATGCAAATATTTTAAACTATGATTATTGCAAGATCAGTGTTATCATTATTTCTCAAATTCGTTGTCTCTTTAAAGTGAATGAATAAAGTAGTAAATGAGTAAATTGGCAGAATTTAAGAATTCTGAACTTTTCCAAACACCCCAAATGCCCCTCCCTCCCCCCCATGCTTGTATTTGTGAGCTTTTTTTCAAAAAGATTTTTTTGTAAAGGGGTTAATTAAAATATAAATCTCTGAAGCTAATTTAAAAGTGAAAAGTAAACAGACTTATGTGTGAATACCTGTGAGTGCAATATGTAATCATATGGGCTGTGCATTTTATATACATGGAGCACAAATATATGCACTGTGTATATTTGTATTGCTTTTTCTTTTACAGTTTGGCTTTATTTCTGAATTTTATTTTTTATAGCATGGCAGCTATTAAAATAAGAGGTGTTGCATGGAACCTGAGATTTTAATGTTCCACTTGCCCTCCGGTGAATGAATAGGCTATGATCTGACACTTTTACAGCGCATATAGCAAGTCCTTCCTGCATGTTACAGTGTAGGTTTCAAAAAAATAATTTTATGAATATGGATAAATCTCTTGCAACACACAGGGCTGTATTTTGCCGTCCCCTCTCCCCACCTCCCCGAGCTCTGTACAGTGAAACGTAGCATCTCTTCCAAATTTCCTTTAGAAGGCGAAACTGTGAAATCTGCAGCCAAAATATTCTTCACAAAGTTCACATTCATTGTGGAGTAGGCTAAAGGTGAGCAAACCATAGCCCCATGCTTAATATTTTGTCACACCATAAGTATAAATATTATTAGTCTGAAAAAGTAACAAACCAAAACACATCATTTTTACAGAATGTGTTTCTAAATACAAAGCAAGAATCACACCATTTGTGCCATGGACTTAGCCATTTCATGACGTCAACCTCACATTTATAAATATTTTACATATGTTGTGTCTGTTCATTAATCTTATTTTCGCCGCGTTTTAAAGCGTATTTGATGACGCCGTCTACTCATGCAGAGTTTGTTTTATAGATATGATCCAACTCTGGTTAATTGTGGAGAAAGTGCTTTAGGTGCTTTCTATCTTGGAACATTTGTGGTCTTTCATTAACCTTTCCTGAGTTTTAAACTTAGGTTTCAATAATTTGGGACACATGCAGTCATATTTTTTTTTATTGCAGTTCCACATGTAGACCCTAGGAGTGCACTTTGACAATTTATTGTTC